TTCAGTAGTCGTAACACCCCTGGTTTCAATCCCTGGTACAAAAAAAGAAAGAGAAAGAAACCATTTAAGTAAATCCATTTATATTCCAGCATTTGTTTCCAAAATGTAGTCATGAAGAGGCTTCTTTTTCAGAATAAAACTTCAAAACCAGATTTGAATTTTAAGAAATACTTCTTTCTTAAATTTGTCTTTCCTTCTCCCTTTTGATGATCCTCTATATTGTATTTTCTATTTTCACTAGTTTCTATTTTTTATTCTCTTTATATTCTTTTGAGTTCATTTCTTTCTTTGACTTTTGGGGCTGGGGCAGTGTGAGGAATCAAATCCTGGACCTCATGGGCCAGGCAACTGCTCTACCACTAAGAGCTACACCCCTAATTTTCTTTGTGTACTTATAGGTCATTGACATTTAACTGTATTGTTTAATATAAGCCCTTTTTATCCTATAAGTTTATAATAAAGTTATGTGTGTGTATGTGTGCACGCATGTACACACATACACACACACACACATATAGATATATAACTTTTATTATCAGTCATGATTTTTAGTTTTTCTTTTTGTGATACTCTGGGAACCCAGACCTGGCATGTTGATAGGTAAGCATTTTACTACTAAGCTACATTCCCAACTCTTAAAAAAAAATTATTATTATTATTTTTTTTTTTTAACTTTCAGACAGGGTCTTGCTGAGTTACTCAGGCTGTCTTCCAACTTGTCATTCTCCTGCGTATCTGGGATTAGAGGCATGAACCACCACTCCTAGCAGATTTCTTTTTGTAATTGTGAATTATTTAGTAATTTTTTTTAAATTTCCAAATGTTAGATTCATACACACATACATACTTTAATGAATTGCAGTCAGAGATAGTGGTATAGATGAAAATGGTTAAGACTGGCTTTATAACCTGGTTGTTTTGTCAATTTTTCCATTGGTGCTTGAGAAGAATATATGTTCTCTAATTTTAGGGTATAAATTAAAATCAAGTATGTTGTCTGTTCCCCCCCCCCCCCAATTGATAATTGAGGAAGATGTGTTGAATTCCATGGTAGTAGACTCATTAATTATTCCCTATAGTTCTATAAATTTTTGTATATTTTGAGGCTATTTTATTAGAGGAATTAATATGTAGATCCTTTGTTTCTAATAATGCTTCTTAAGGTGTATTTTGTTTTAGATCCATTATGAGCATATATCAGTTACTGTACCCTGGGTTTCTGTTTCCTCAATTTGTAACCTACAGCAAAAAATTCAAAATTCTAACTGTTAGGTGTACCATCTCTGTTTTGATTAGGGCTTTAAATTTTAAGAAATACTTTTTTCTTAAACTTGTCTTTCTTCTCCCTTTTGTTGATCTTCTATATTGTATTTTCTATTTCACTAGTTTCTATATTTTTACTTAGTCCTCCCCTCCATGATTATTTTTAACCTGTGTTCTTTCATTTTTAGATTTTTTTTTTTAACTAAAGGCTTTTGACCAGAAATTAATTAATTAATTAATTAATTTGTTTGTTTGTTTGTTTTTGGTAAATCTAGCTGCGGGATTTAAATGGACAGTCTATTTTCTGTCTATGGTTTCTGTAGTTATTGACATTTTATGACATTTTAGGATTTGTTTCTCCCGTGTTGATCTTTGCTTCTTTTTGTCACTGCCATACCTCCACCATGGATCTTTCCCCCTGCCCCACCCTTTAATTGATGTTGTCCATTTTACCCCCGTTTTAGTTTGGAAGTTATATACTGTGTTTCTGTGGGTTAATTGGTTCCCCTTAAAGTTTTTTTATGCCTCTTTAAATAAACTAAAAGTAAAGTAAATATTATAAACTCTTATAAGTGATACAATACTAGAGAATACTTAAACACTAAAATATACTATATTGCTATATGGTATTTTCTTTTCCTTTTTTCCCCTGGTACTGGTATTGAACTAAGAGCCTCATGCATGCACTCTGCCACTGAACTATACCTCTAGCCCCCTGTCTTTTATTTAAACTCCACATAATAAAAGACCTTCAAGTTAGAATATTGACTTCTCAGTATATGTGCATATGTACCAATTTCTTTGTTTGCTATTTCCTTCTTGTAGCAAACCTTTTTTTTGAGATTTGTTTTCATTCCAGCTGAAGTAAATGTCTAGGAGTTCTTTCATGTCCAAAAACATGTAGTCACACCAGATTCTGTGTTGTTTTCCATTTTTGAACTACAACTACACAGATAAATTGCTCATTTTACCTGATCTTATTCCTGTGAGAAGACAGGATAGAAACCATTCTACATATTTCAAACAAAGGAACATGTCTTGGGATGAGATTAGAGATAAAGGAGCAGAAGTGGGGAAGGTTATGTTTCCAGAATTGGAGGATTGCACAAAGCCTTTGACTTTGCAAGAATAATCACTTGAGAAGTCCATTAACTCTATGTCCACTGCCATGCAGCTGCTATAAACTTCCTTTAAAGCCGCAGGAACTCACAGGGGCTACTGCTGTTGGCCATTGTCTGTAGCATCACCAGGAGTAGAATGGATTCTTTTTCCCATGCCTTTTCATCAGTGGCATCCACTGGTGGGGCCTGATAAGAATTTGTTCTGGGGAATGTAGTTTTGGACTTCTCTAGAAGGATGAATGTGGACTGGTTGCCAACCAAGGAAGTCTTTCAGAATGTTAGTTGAATGTTCAAGCATTTGAACTTGCTTAACATCAGTAATGTCCTAAAACTGATTACATCTGAGGAAGGTTAGGAATGTTTCTGTGTGACTCATGAAAAGTATATTGTGGAAGTCTTGAATAGTATTTGCCATATTTAAATATGTAGTTTAAGTAATATTATCTTTACCCTTGTTGCATTTAACACCCTTTTTTGGTGTTTAATGCATCAACTTTTGAATCCATCTACAAAGTTGCACTAACAGGGACCTAGAGAACTCCTGTTTCAAATCAAAGGAAAAAGTGGAAAGCTCTTATCTTCTAAGCCCAAGAAAGCTGATTTTAGTACATATGTAGATCTTTATTAACACTTTTATTTGAAGGTGCTGGGATTGAAGGGCAGCAGTCAGCTTTGGGTTTTTGTCAATCACTCATTTAAAATTAACTGTACCAGGAAAACCAAGAGTAGGTCCCTCCTTCCATTTCCACTTACAAATTACAGTAGTAGGAACACCCTTGGCTACAGGAATTATCTGCAGTAAAGACTGAGCCATAGAGGCAGCTGTGCAGTGATGAATGTGGATTGGTTGCCAACCAAGTTCCCACCTTCCCACTCTAAACTATTAACCTTAAATTTATGTTATTTCTTCAACTTTTGTGATAATTTCAGTATAATCTTATCTTAAAGTGGGGGTTAGATTCTAAAGGCATTGAAGCAAAAATCTCATTTAAAATATCTAAAATCATTCTAGAAAAACTCCTAAGGAAAGCATGTTGATGTGCTTATATACCAGAAGATCATAGGATTAAGGTGAAAGTGGAAGCAGCAGTTTTTACATACCATACCTCGCACCTGACTCTCTCTGGTTTATACCTTTCTGGTATGCAATGATTGGTAGAAACACCATTATTTGAAGTCTGTAATATCTCTGGCTGAGCACCCAAAGCTGACTGCTGCCTTCAATCCCAGCACCTTCAAATAAAAGTGTTAATGAAGACCTACATATGTACTAAAATCAGCTTTCTTGGGCTTAGAAGGTGAATTTTGTGTACATCTTGTGAGTGGATTATGTAACCACAGTAAGGAGAGTGAAAATCAACATAGACAAATGAAACTACAACATAAAAGAGGTAAGTAGGAAATTTGAAGCAGGAAGGGAGAATATACATATAAGAAGAAGCCCTGTGGAAAACAAGGTATTTTGGATAGCAATACTTTTTTCCCCAAATACTCCAAGATTGATAATAGGGTATGACAAAACACAGGGAAATTGTTCAAAATGAAGAAAGTATTGACAATACATCAAGCAAATAGAGCTGATTATAAAATGTATGAATGTAATTTTGAGGAAAATCTGCAAAAATTATGTGACATTTGTTTCAATTCCTAGATAAATGATTTACTTGCTGTATAAAAAAGTTAGTTTGACAATTATGAATTTAACATTTCTGCTTTTTTACTTCATAAATAATCCAGAAGAACCAAAATATGCTGAGTTATGATTTTGTTGGTCCGGTGTGCAGAAATGAATTTATTAGAAAATGTGCCTTGCCAGTTACCCAACCTACAAGTCACAGGACAGCTTTGTTTTTCTTGACTAATCTCTCTGGTGCAGTGCTTGCTATGACGTGATAAATACTGCTTCCCTATAACATATGGCACTTCAAAAAAAAAAAAAAAAATGTAGACTAAATCAAGACTAGTGTCAAAAATAAATAGACTATTATCAGAAAATAGGTTTTGATACGTTAAAGAATGGGATCTTTGATATGAACAGTTTGTTATTTTAAACATGGGGAAAATTATGCAATAAAACAGATATGAGGATTGTTGAAAATAATCTCTCTTTACAAATGTTTTTTTCTGTATTAATTTGTTCAGGAAAATATGCTAATAAGGAGGCTGCTGTTAATTTCTAGTAAAGAATCCATTGATCTTCAAATCAAACATAATTTTAGATAAGTAGAAAATCAAAAAGATCTTTTTTATTTTTGCAGTATTAGGAAAATTCTCTAAATATAGACAAAGAGCTGAAGAGTTCCATAGAAGGTGACTAACTATAAATGTATTATACATGACTGGAAAGTAATGGCAAGCAAGACTTTAGAGCTGAGCTATCTTGATATTTTTATCCAGTGTGTGGGGTGCTACACATGCATCACAGCTATAATAGAGCTATCACATGGAACATTTGAAAAACAAGACAGAGATGCTTTAAAGGCTTCTGTGCTTGATTTCTTAGATGCTGTGTTACTTGGCATTTAGCAACTGAAGCCAGAATCCAGATATTAAAAGGTGAATTATTTTAAATCACTGAGTTGTACTAAAGAAGTAATTTATTTTAAATTATTTCAGGAAATGGAAGATAAAGTGACTAGTCCAGAGAAAGCTGAAGAAGCAAAATTAAAAGCAAGGTATCCTCACCTGGGACAAAAGCCTGGAGGTTCAGATTTTTTAAGGAAACGATTGCAGAAAGGGGTAAGTGGTCATGTGTAAACCTTCAAATATTTAAAATCTTCTGAACTCAGTGTACTGACAGATTGTGAAATGGGTGTCTGCATATTTAGCTCTGTACTTAGCAGATGCATGTTTGTGTATACCTTTTTTCAATATACTTTTCATTTCATAAATTTGAAAAGAATTTAAAATTTACCATTTTAAATTATGAACTATTTCAAACATGTAGCATAGTGAAGATAACAGAATCCAGACACACCACTTATATTAAAATATTAGTATTTTTGTCATGTTTACTTTGGTTTTCTTTGTAATATGTGTGTAATTGAAACCTACCCTATGCTACATAGCCCCTTTCTTTCTTTGCTGCAAAAGCAAATGCTCACCAGAAGCTGGTAGTTACCCTGCTGCCCATATATTTTAACTTTTAGCTGTTTTAAAGTGATTCTCCTACAATATCCAAAGGCTTAAAATACTTTGTATTTGGATGAAATGATCACGGATAAAGCACCGCTTACTCTTCCTTTGGTAATAGGTTTCACAGTTACTCTAATACAATTTTCATACTGTAATTTAGGTAGTTCAGGTTACTGGAAATGCATTTTTCAAAATCTTGTTATCTTTTTGTGTGAGATAGAAACCATTATTTCTCAATAATGAGATGAATTGAACCTGTTTGTTAAGTTTTTTCATCTAACCCTTTTCTTTATTTCTGTTAAAAAAGAAGAAAGAAAGAAAAGCAAATTAGAGGATTCCATATTAAGCTTAAACACATTTCAGTTATTTACCATACAGGGATCAGGGAAAGATGAGATATTATATATGGAAGAGAATTGTTTACCAAATGAGATGCCATATCGTGTTTCTTCTTAAATATACTGGTATCTGTTGCTTGTATACTAAAAACAACATCTGTAGTGTGTGTGAGTTTGGGTGTGTGTGTGTGTGTGTGTGTGTGTGTGTGTGCATGTAAAACATTCCAAAAGAATGTTTTAATGATTCTTTAAAGTGTCAAAAAAAATAGAATGGTGTAGTTTACTCTTACATGAAATGACATTCATAGGTCTGAAATAATAAGATAAGGAAAAATTACAGTAACTCTATAAAAATGTAAAACTTTTATATCATGAGACATAATACAGGGGAATTATTATCAGGAAAAAGGGGGGTGAACTTTAAGAAAAACATTAAGGTACCCCTATATAACGGATATTAGCAGAGTCAATAAACACAAAGAAAAGTGCTTATCATGATAGAAATCAATGAAATGTAAATTATACTGTAGTGTATACAACTAAATATGTTCGTTTTCTTTAAATGAATAATCTCTAATGAGTTAATAAAAAGATAAGGAAAATATCTTCGAGATTTTTCCCTTGTAGCTTTAATTAAAAACATCACTTTTCAATAGTAGAGATGGTTAAATAAATTTTAATAAGTCAACAAAATAGAATATTATGTGGATATTTTAAAACATAATTACAGAGATCAAAATATTGGAGATAAATAGAAAAAAATAGAATGAAAATTGTTCTATGAACCTAGCTAAGTGGAATGTACATGTACTGAGTCTAAATATAAAACTGTCCCATCGGGCATGTTTTTAGTTATGAAATAAATGTTAAGTATATCATCTTTGACTATTAAATTATTATTTCAATTTGACTGATTATTAATCTTTTGTAAACAAAAACCTTTGCTAATATTTAGCATAATTATAAGCTAACAGGCTTTTCTCCAGTATGTTGGGACTGTTGTCATTATAATTTTCCTCTAGCTTCAACTATTTATGATTTTTTTAAGCATCTTTAGGTCAGAATTTACATACATTGCCTCTTGGTGTTATAGATAATAAGTAGTGAGAAATGAGGAAAATGCCAACTGAATCAAGAAATAATTATATAGAAGTTGAGAAGTGAGCTCAGATTAATTTGGTATTCTGACAGAATGTCAATGATTTTATATATATATATATTTGGGAAATAAAGTCTTGATTTAAAAACAGTCTGAATCATGGGGTTTTGGGTTTTGATTTTTACTCTGTCACAGTAGTTAGTAAGCTTGGCAAGTTTCTTTGTTATTTAGAGGGTTGCGTTAGATTTTATAAGGCTTTTTATGTGTTATTGTACCCATTGGTGACACTATGATGTTAACATTATATAATATTATCATGAGGCTTTTAATAGTAAGATTATGCACATCATGGTCATGTTGACTATCAGAGCTGGGGGAGGCTAGGAAGAAGCAGTCTAGCCTGTATTTTCCACATCTGATCCAAGAAGACTGAGGATCTAGTTTTAAGAAACATGGCTTTAAAGTTAAACAGTCACTTTTTTTTATGTTAATGCTATTATAAATACCAATTTAGGTATGGCCTCTGCATTTGAGTGAGAAGAGGACCTTTTAATAAGATTATAATCCGGATGAATCAGACTTAATGTTTGGTGAATTAAAAAATACTTTTATTTAACAACTCACAAAAATTGAGAAATTGTTAGAGATAACTAATATCACCCTTAGACTGTATCTGTGTATCCCAGTATGAAAAACATCAATCTAGTTCACCTCTACCTAAAGCATGGACTTCTTTATCTGACATCTTTGCTGTGTCATTGTCTTTGCTGATCTCTGTGTAAGGATTTTAGTTTTATATCTAGTAGTATTAAATAAATTTAATTGCTTCCCCCCAAGCAGAGCAGTCTAAATTGTAATTAAGTAAGATCTTTATATGATGAACTCTTGCTTATTGTAAGATAGTTATTATTAGAAACTGAGTTTGTTAAATTGGCAAAAATCTGCCTAAACTTTGCACTATAAATTTCTTTCTGTACTTTTGACAGTAAGAAATTTGACAGGTTGTTTTGTTCTCTTTCAGAGGTCACTAAATTCAGAAGCAGCTCTTTAATATACAGTGCATCAGAGTTTGAAATTTTTTTTCTACACTCATTTTAAAACATTATGCAGAGGGGCTGGGGATGTGGCTCAAGCGGTAATGCGCTCGCCTGACATGTGTGCGGCCTGGGTTCGATCCTCAGCACCACATACAAACAAAGATGTTGTGTCCTTTGAAAACTAAAAAAAAAATTAAAGAAATATTTTTTAAAAAATTCTCTCTCTCTCTCTCAAAAAACAAAACAAAAACATTATGCAGAAAGGCAGGGTTGCAGTGGCACACACTTATAATCCCAGCAATTTGAGAGGCCGAGACAAGAGGATTGCAAGTTTAAGGCCAGCCTTGGCAACTTAGTGAGACCCTGTCTCCAAAAAAAAAAAAATACTAGTGGTATACTTCAGACATAAAGCACCCCTGCCCTCAATGTCCAGTATGAGAAGCAGTTTCTAACTCTAAACCTTCTGGCCATGGGCCAGATAAAGCTTTTCAAAGGATAGTCCCTAAAGGGAGGCATCCCATGAGACCCTCTTCACTCAGGCCATCATTTCATTCCAAATTAATTTGTAGTGATCACATAAATATGATTTAAATTCCTACAGAAAAATGCTCATTCTAGAGGATGGAATATCAACAATTAAAATAATTTTAATGGGTGTGAGGTTGATTGGAAGGTGGGTAGCATATCCTAAATGCAAGTTGGTAAATTATGCTTTTTTATTTTCAAAATAATTTAAGCAAGAATTTCCACCTGGTGGTTCTGTTAGTAAATTAAAGTTTTATGTTTTACTAAGTCCAGTACTTTTTATTTCCAAGTATCTTGATGTCAGTCTTGGGGGTTCTATATTAAAGTCAGAATGGTCCAAGTAAGCCTGAAGAAAGAGTTCTGGCTTGAGTTCTCAGTTGTTGACTTATGCTAGAAATCAATAGAGAATCATAGCTGTTTCATCCTATTAATTTCCTGTTAAGATTTATTTAGATTAACTCATTGTATACTGGCATAGGGTTGCAAATATGTCTTAAATCAGTCTAATGTTTATGAAAACATTAATCTGAATTTTGGTTTTTGCTTTTTTTTTTTTTTTTGTAGCAAAAATATTTTGATTCTGGGGATTACAACATGGCAAAAGCAAAGATGAAGAACAAGCAACTTCCTGCTGCAGCCCCGGATAAGACAGAGGTCACTGGTGACCATATTCCCACTCCACAGGACCTTCCTCAACGGAAACCATCCCTTGTTGCTAGCAAGCTGGCTGGCTGATTAAAAGAGCTGACCTGCATGAATTTTCTAATTCCCATTATTTCTCCTCATATGTTACTTATCCACTTTTTATTCCTTTCATTCACTAAGTCATTTAAATGAGACTGACGGCTTTGCAGGTAGCGATAGTGTGTGCTGCTATTGTAAGGGAATATATATGTGTAGAGGTTTTGATTAGTTTTAACAGTGCACTGATGAAAAGGACATGTTAGAGCAACATAAGTAATCTACTTGAAAATATTTGTATATATTACCTAACTCCTAATATAGGTTCCAAAAAGTAATAAGCAAATTTTACAATTTTAATGTTTTGCCTTCTTCGCTTATCTTAATTATAGCTGTGTATGTTACTCTTATTTAATGTAACCTCTGTATTGATTTCTTCTGTATTTTCCTTCTGGATTTTGTCAAACAGAAGTTTAAGCCACAAGTTTGAAGAAGGATCACAAATTCAAATGAAAATAGGAGGGGCTTTGAAAGATTTGTATAAGTGTGCTTGAACTTGAATGGCCTTAAACCTGTTTCAGCTTTAACAATAGAATTTTACTTGGGCAATATTTGCCCATTCTGGTGTAACTTACGTGACTTCAGTGCTTAACAGCTGCCATTGAAGCTAGTATTCTTATTTAGTTTTGTAGTGTTAAATACCTTTCATTGTTGAAGATGTGAATGAAGTATGCATGTGCATCAACTGTTGAATTCACTTTTGTGCCATTTTTGTAAATACAGTAGTTTTGCACAACCTTTCATAAATGTCTGTATTAATTTCACATATTAGAAAGTAGATAATGTGCCATCGAGAAGCACAAGAGTTCCTCCTACACAAAAAAATATGTCCTTATAGCTTTTATATAATAAGAGTAGTTTACAATCTTGGGCTTATAGAATACCAAACTGAATTCTTCATCTTCACTCAGTCTGCCGTAGAATTAAGCTTTTACAATTGTTACTAATATCCATGACATTCAGTGGCCTTGTGCAAATATGATATGTTGCTTAGGCATATCTTTTGTCCTATGCAGATCTCGTTTTGTCTTTTACGAAAATTGCAGTTCATATAATTTATACACACTTTTTTTAAGTATACAGACTTTTTACTTCCACACTTAACTTTGGAGACACTAGAGTAAAAGGCTTTCCATATTCTGCCTTCTGTTTTCTTCTCCTCCCTGCCCCACCACCCAACTTTTCTTGTCTGTCTTTGCTTCTTTTGACTATTTGGGCTATTTAGTTTATATGATAGCATAGGCATCTGTAGCCTTACTCTTTTTAATTTGCTGTGCTGAATGCTGTATTTTATAACACAATAATGGTGTTTTCCCTCTTTCATTTCTCAGTTGTTAACTTACCACTTAACCCTATTATTATTATTGGCATTTAACAATTGTTTAAATAAAAATTTTATAATGAAACAAATAGTTGAGAGAACTGGCCCAGGAATCTGTCAGATTGAATTAAATTCAAGTAATTATGATGAACTAAGAATTAGGCTTGTGACGAGTAACATACATGATAGCTAAGATTTATTCATATGAAAAACATTTAGATAGTTGCTTCTGAGATGTCACTTTAATAAAATATGAATTTAATTTTACTTGTGGTTCATCCAGTTAGAACTTTAACACTTTATTAGGACAGGTTTACTGTTGTCTTAGAGCTCTTCCCACAAGCTGTAATATGGTAGCAGGATAATGAGGATTGCTAGACAGAACTGATACTATTTTTCTCTTCATCTTTGACTTGCACAAATCCTCTTTTGGATCCAGGCATCTTTTCTAGGTCTTGGCTTCATTTGTAACTGCTTTTCTGTGATGCCAAATCATAGTAGATGGTGCCTTGAACATAGCACCTGTGCTTAAAGGCTAATTGCCTTCCTTCGCCACCCACCCCAAAGGCAGAAAAGCAACAAAATCAGTACTGTGTTCATTTGTAATTTTAAGGATCAATGATATATAAATATATGAATATATTTGTAATGAGACCAAGTATGTTATTCCATAGTATGTAAACTTATACTATAAGATCCATTTAAGAATTTTTAAATAGCCCTAAATAGAATTTCTATTATAGTTAGTCCTTTTTTTTCCATGAACATTTGCAAGCTATCACCATTAAATCCAAACATCAAAAAGATTAATCTGAAAGATCAGAGAGGCCATGTTATTCCCAACCATGATAGAACTCTTGTAGTTTGTGACAAGTGACATAACATCTGCTTGAGTTTTAGTTTGTAAAATACGATATTTAACCTACCTCAAAACTTGTTGAGGATCTGTGAAATACTGAGTAAGTGCCCAAAAATAAAATATTGTTGATTGTCTTTTTATTAAAAGTAGTTACTCATTAAACCAACCTGCCTTCTGTAAAGTCACAGTGCTTAAAATCTCAGGATTTCCCATTAGGAAAGACCTGTCATTAAGGATTTGTAGATATAATTAATTGCTTAGCTTCCATTGGTGCTTGGGATAGAGAGGTTTTAAATTTTTCTATTTTTTGTTCTGCCTCAAATCTCAGTTTATTGAAGCATTTTGCAAGCTCTTTAATCACTGCTTGAATGAAAATTTTGATGAGATGAGCTTAATTTCTACTTTTTTGAAGTCGTGGTTTGAAAAGTGACTAATTTTAATCATTGTCCTGTTTGCCATAAGTTAATGTTAGAGTAAACTGAAGTTGGAATTAAATACTTCATGAAAATTGGCTACCATCTGAAGTAAATTCCCGTTTCATGTTCAGTAGCTCTTACTTTTGATAGTACAGTTTTGACAAACATTTTGTTCTTGAAGGCTACATCTAAAATAGTTAAAGAGTTCTTGGCAAATTGAAATAGGATAGTTTGATGAATTGGAAGGAACATGTTTGTAGTCTTTACAAAATTGTTGAATAATCTTGTGCTGCTGACCTAAAAATATGTCTTAACTATTCATCAAGGTGGGCCTCTAGAGCCTCTACTTGTTATTACTTCAGCAGTGAGAATTAGTTGCTCTTTTTACTTGATGTAACAAAAGTATACCTCTAATATTTATTGGTACTTTTTACTAAATCAAATTTATGTTCTTATACAATACAAATAGTGTAATTTTATCAAAGTTGAAATGTAGTATGTACTTAAATTGTGCTGTAAAATTGGTGTTTGGTGATCAGGAGCAGGTAGTATATGGGAAGAGCATTTCTGAGTGGTCACCAAAGCAGTTTCTCCGGTGGCCTTTTCACATTCCCCAGCATATAAGCATATTTCTCCCACTTTTCATTTCCTCCCTGAAGCCCATTTTTTTAGAGCTAATGAATTATTAATCCTTAATATCCATCCCAATATGCCAAAATTTAGGACCTGTCACATTTTCTAAAACATCCTAATCTAGATAATGACTAATATGAGCCACTGTCCCAACTCAGCATGCACTGCCAGTCTTCTGTCTTTTTTCCCCAAATCCCCACCACACCTTATAAAATTAGGATCAAAGGAACTCTATGATTGTTGAATTTAAGGATAAAAACACCAATTTGAATACTTTTTTACTAATTTCAGCCTTCTGGGTAGGTAGGTCTATGGATTTTATTCTACAAATCACTGGTGGTCATGATGGCCATTAATGTATTGCTTGTATTCTGTTATTTATCAATTAAATGGCATTTGAAAGAAAACATCTTATTCCTTTAATATTACACCCTCAAATCTGCTACTGAATCTCTAGCATTTGTTGTGCAATAGGACATTTTGCCTGTATTAAAAAGGCCAAGAGTAAATGCCTTTTTTGTTAAATGTGTCTACAGAGTTGGCAGTTAATGCTGAAATTTGTCAAATAGCCCTTCCAAAATTATACTTGTGAGATACCAAAATAAATAAATTGATCTAATTTCTATTGATTGGATTTGCAGTTTTGTCTTATTTAAAGCTAATATTTTCTGAAGTTCAAATACCTGTATATGCAGAATTTTGACTATTGGTGGTTTTAGATTTTGTTTTAATTACAAAAATGTATGACAATGAAATTCTAGCAGTCAACTTTTTTTGGTAAAGCTTTGTAATTAAGGTAATAAAATGGTTTCAGATTGTGATTCGTCTCAGTCTCATGTACAAAACACTTTAGTATTGAATATAGAAAGATTGATGATTCTCTCTCACCCTATACAAAAGTCAAATGAAAATGGATCAAAAACCTAGAAATGAGACCAGAAACAATGCAACTCCTAAAAGAAAATATAGGGTCAACACTCCAACATAAGATGCAGAAAACAACTTGCTCAAGAGGACTCCTAAAGCTCAGGATATAAGAATTAATAGATGCAATGGCATCAAATTTAATAATTTGTGCACAGCAAAGGAAATAATTTAGAATGTGAAGAGAAGGTAGAAAATTCTTGGCTAGCTACTCTTCTGGCAGAAGATTAATATCTAGAATATATGAAGAACTCAAACTTTAAACACCCCCCCCCCAAAAAAAAAGTTAATAAATGTGCAATGAACTAAACAAACTTCTCAATAGAAGATACAAATGGCCAACAAATATATGAAAAATGTTCATCTTTAGCAATTAAGGAAATGGAAATCAAAACTACACAGATTCAATCTTTGGTTAGAATAGCAGCCATCAAAAATACAAACAATAATAAATGCTGGAGAGGATGTGGAGAAAAAGAAACACGGTTGGTGAGATTGTTAATAAGTACAACCACTTTGGAAGTCAGTATGGAGGTTCCTCAGAAGAATGAGAATGGAACCACCATATGACCCAGCAATACTACTACTCAGCATTCATCATAAAGGATTAAAGTCATCATACTGTAGTGATATATGCACACCCATGTTTATAGCAGCACAATCCATAATAGCCAAACTATGGAATCAGCCTAGGTGTCCATCAATGGATGAATGAATAAAGTAAGTGTGACATATGTACACAATGGAGTTTTATTCGGTCATAAAGAAAAATGTCAATTGCAGGAAGATGGATGGAACTTGAGAACATTATATTAAGTGAAATAAAAGACAAATTCAGAAAGTCAAGGGTTGTATGTTTTCTCTCATATGTCAAAGCCATAGAGTGAAAAGGAAATGAAAGGGGAAAATTTAAGGAAGACCAGTAAAGAGGAAAGGGACCAGGGGAAGGGAAAGAAATAGTAGGGAATGATATTATCCAAATTTATTGTGTGCATGTATGCATATGTAACAACAAATCCCATAATGTGCCAATAAGGATACGGAAAAAATGAAATGTGATGAACCATGCACACATTTTAAGAAGTGAAATATATCTGTATATAATTTAATGCAAGGTAGAAAATAGTACATTCCTCAAGAGAGATAGGAGTAATATTCCAGGAAGTCTAGAGGAATGAGTTCTTTGAGGAATAAATAGAATGAGTTTTAGAGGTGGCTTTTAGAGATGAGTTGAAAACATTTTAGGTCGAGGAAATATTATTTTCAAAAAAGCAAGGAATTGGAGAAATGTAGACCAACATAGGAAGTTTGGTTGTCGAACATAGCATGTAAAGAGACTTTTTTTTTCTTCCTTAAAAGTTATTTCTAAAGGTATTTCTTCCACATTCTTCAACTCAGAAGAATCACAGAACTCTAATCTTTCATTTTCATATTTTTCTTAATTCTTAACCGCTTTAATATCTATTATTTGAAGCTACAATCACCAGGTATCAGGAATTGAACCAGGGTTGCCTAACCACTGAGCCACATCTCCAGGCCTTTTATTATATTTTATTTTGAGACAAATTCTTGCTAAACTGCTCAGGGCCTTGCCAAGTTGCTGAGGCTGGCATTGAACTTGCAATCCTTCTGCCTCAACCTCCTGAGCTGCTGGATTTACAGGCATGCATTACTATGACCATGAATGTTCTTGCTAAAAGAAAGACTAAAACTATTTTTAAAAAATTGATTACTACAGCCGGGTGTGGTGGCGCACGCCTGTAATCCCAGTGGCTCGGGCAACCGAGGCAGGAGGATCCTGAGTTCAAATCCAGCGTTAGCAAAAGCAAGGCGCTAAGCAACTTAGTGAGACCCTGTCTCTAAATAAAACACAAAGTAGGGCTGGGGATGTGACTCAGTGTTTGAATACCTCTGAGTTCAATACCTAGTACCAAAAAAAAAAAAAAAATTATTACTTCTGCTACTGATTATAAGACATTGGACTAATATATTTATATACCTATGTATCAATTAAGTCTAAGGCTCATATTGCCAGCCATGATAATTTAATCTTGTTTTTCTTCTGGTGCTGAGGATTGAACCTAGGGCCTCAAGCATTTTAGGTAAGGGGCTTACCATTGAGCTACACCGCAGCCCCTAGCCATGGTAATTTAAGATGGTCAAATGTATTATTCCTATAAAGTTTATATTATAGTATGCTTATACAAAAATTCTAAAGAACTACTTTTTATATTTATTTCCCATTTTGTTGCTCATGACTATAATCTGTTACAGTACTACCAACTGATTATAATGTACTCACATTCTCACAGGAGGTCTGTTCTACAAGTGTCAAACAAAAGGTGGGGAAAATTCACTATGAAGATGGCAGTGTGTAGTATAGCAGAGAAGAGTGAGACCTAAGGAAAGGCCTAAAAGTTGGGAAATTGGTATCACTCATCATTCGGAGAGAGCAATTTCAGTAGAGAAGGTACATATGGGCTCAGGGCAGAGGAATATAACAGGAATAACAAGTAACTTGAGATAAATTAGTAGTGAAGACAGTTCTTTTGAAAGCCGAGCTATATTAAAAAAAATTGGGGGGGTGCTGGGGTTGTGACTCAGTGGTAGAGCACTTGCCTGGCACATGTGAGGCACTAAGTTCAATCCTCTGCACAACATTAAAAAAAAAAAGATTAAAATTTGTTTTTTGCTGGGTGCAGTGGTGCACTCCTGTAATCTCAGGAACTCAAGAGGCTGAGGCAGGAGTATTTCAAATTTGAGGCCAGCCTCAACAACTTAGGAAAGGCCCTCAGTAACTTAGCAAGGTCTTGTCTCAAAATAAAAAATAAAAAGGGCTGGGGATGTGGTTCAATCCCCATTACCAAAAAAAAAAAAGTTTGGAAGAAGTTCTTGGTTTTCTTTTAAAATGCAGGAAAATTTTGAATATGGTCATTTTGTTAGTGAGCTTTCAATTAATATAAACAAATACCGAAGATAAAATACCTAAGAGAAAAGATTTATTTGGGTTCATTGTTTTGCAAGTTTCAATCCATCATCAATTGGCTCCATTTGCTTTCCAGCCTGTAGCAAGGCAGCACATCATGGCAGGGAACTTGTGGCAATGAAAAGCCACTCACTCACCTTAAGGCTGGGGAAGCCAGAGAATGAGGAGGGTTGTAGAGTCCACAATCTCCTTCAAGGGCACAACCGCACTAATACTGCCATTGTATACAGTAGAGAGCCAACAAAACCTTTCATTAGGCTCCATTTCCTAAAAGGTTTCACCACTTTCCAAAAGGCAAGCCTAGCTGAGAAGAATCCTCTAATAATTGGGCCTATGGGGAACACTCCAGATATCTATTGTAGACAAAATTTGAGTATGAAAGAAAAACTGAAGATGCAGATGAGGCAAGAGGGCAATACCTGGGATGGGGGATCAGCCAGAACCAGCAGATGAGCCAGTAGAGGTCAGGTGGAGAAGGTAACACACTGGAAGAAAGGGCCTGTTGGCTGACCTTAGTCCTACCCATATAAAAGAAGGTGATGAGTTCACTTTCCAGGAAGGTGTGATGATTAAAGGATGCAGGTAAGAAGTACACTAATGGTTCAGAAGTGCTTTACAACTTTGTAAAACCATGTCCTTATATTAACAAAGATCTAGAAAGAGTCTCAAAATTTTAAAATGGTTTCTTTGGGATCATTGCTTACATTCCTCTTTTTTTTTAAGAAAACTAAATGGAGCAAATAATATCAAATGGGAAGCACAAGTCGGTAAGAAATGTATAGGTGAAAAAAAGAACTGAAATTTGGTATTAAATAATATTCTGAAACTTCTTTTTCCTATTCTTTTCTTTTCAGTCATAGTTATAGAAGGACATAGTGAAAAACCAAGAATCACAAATATACCTCTCTGCTTTAGATACTTTAGATCCTTAGAGGGAGAACTACTAGGAACATTCAAGTTATTGTGTGTATATGTGTATTTTCTTCTTCTTCTTCTTCTTTTCTGATAGTTATTGCTATATCTCTCAGCAATATCTTTCGGGTTTTTGTTGTTTTTTGATTTTTTTTTAAAAGAGAGAGTGAGAGAAAATTTATATATATATTTTTTTTTTTTTTTTTTTTTTTTTTTTTTTTTT